TCTAGCCGGCCCACAAGCCGGTTCACACGGGCCCCACTCCGACCATTGTGACCAGGTTCCTGTTTGCTGGTCGCATTTGTTGCCCGTATAACCGTCATCGCAATCACAAACGCTTTTCAGCAAATCCTGTGAAATAAAATGCAACCAAGGAAATGGTTTGAATTTCACAATAATATAAATAAAAAACACGCAGGCGACTTGTTATTTTTTCGTGTTAGGCCGAAATTGGTTGTTCTTATATATGTATCAGTATCAGTAGTGAAACTCACCGGGGCAGTGACACATTGACCATGAACACAGATTCGCTTGTCGCAACTATCCAACGGTTTCAGACAATTATCATACGGTACAGATATGTCTCGAACGTAAGCTGGACTGCAGACACATTCGTATGTATTAGCGCCGGGCACGTTGAAGCACAAATTTCGAGCATCCAAAGTGGTGCCACAAGCATCATAACCGGACGGAATGATGGGTCCTACATTTAATCCTCGTGCATCAGGTGCACTTCCAAGTACACAGGCGTCATACGGCTGACTGCAATCAAATCCCATAAAACCATCTTTGCACTGACAAACAGCAGTTGCTGATGAAGAAACAAAAAAAAATACGATAATAATTTCTTTTCAACTTCTGATGTTAGTTGTTGATACTCCTGCCAAACGAGCATCGTAGTAGGTCAGTTGACAAAAACGAATCAACCGTTAATGACTAGTATAGCAGCTGAATGAAATCAGTTACAGTTAGATGTTGTTCAGTCATTAACCTTGCGTTCCGCTGCTAGACGTTTGTTCAGCGCATTTGGATTACTTATTTATTTGTCCAGTGCAGAGCGTTACCCACAAATCAGGATGAAAACTTTTGGTGTGGTTACCGATATCTAAAAGCGTCACTGTTTGTGACAAAGTGACATCGTCCAGTGTCTCCAACCGTTGATGAAGGTGACCACGATAATTGCACAAGGAGTCGGAAGCCTCATTTGTGGCTGTCAAAACAACTGCCTACTTTGGGGATAAAACGCATTTCAGCGAGAAAATGCAGAATAGATAATAACTGCTAAGCAACAATTTAAACAACAGTTAAATTCGAGAGCAGTCTTACAGTGAAAATTAGTAGTTTTATAATTCACCAGTTTCGTCGTCTGTTTATCTCACACAGGAAAATGACCAAAATGCTATTGTAAAAACTGATCTCGGGTTACAAAGTTGAATAAAGAAGCCAGACATCGGTTCGTACAACACATGAGCGATCGTTTTATCACATACCGCATTGAAGGTGATTCATCTAGGCAGTGAAATAAAAATGATAGACAGGTCTGAGTGCTAATATCAAAGGGGCACCACAAAAATAGAGTTTGCATGTTGGTTGATAGGGCAATACTACCGTATCAATTCATTTCAGAGATTTGTGTTGTGTAATCTTCCTATACATATTTAAATTCACTTCCCGTTTCATAGGGAAGAAATTGTTCTCGGGTTTAGTACTGTGAAGCTGATTTCGATGTTGTATAACTCTACCACGGAATCACACTTTCGTCTATCTCCTTCTTGGCATGATCTACATATACCAACCAGCTTACCGCTTAATCAAACATTACTCAAGTTAGCAACTACGGAATGAATTGAACTTGGCCCAGTATTATCTTTTTAATGCTCAACTACGATAAGTTTATGAATATTTTGTTTGGATAAGTATCAAATTGACAATAAGCGAAATTGATTATCAATTCCGCTCAAACTACGTATTTTCTTATTGAACCACAGGCTTTAATTGATATATTCTAATACTATTCATTTATTGATTTAAACTAGCCATCCTACAAACTGTTCCTTCATGCAAAATCCTCAGCTATTGCAGTCAAACGTACTCTCGAAAGCACTAGACCCGAGTTTTGTCTTCATGAGAGTTCCTTAGTAGGGCATATGCAGCGCCCCGCTCGGGCTTTGAGCTCCGAAACAATCACATGGACGGTGTGTGAGATACCACCGCCAACCAGCTCATACTCGAGCTGAATCTAGTTGTAAATTCATGTTTATTTCAAGTGTCCTCTTCGGTGATTGTCACAAGTAACTCTGAGTAAAAAGTGAATTATTAATCCAACCTGGTAGGTTTGTGATCAGTTAACCCGTAACCTGCGTAGAAGACCTGGTATAGTGGGATGCTTTCGGTTGGAACGATTGGTAAACTTTTGTTCGCTTCGTCGCTATCAGGTCAACAATAAACTGACTGCATGAAGATGAAGTCTGAAGGATGGTCATTTTCAATCAAGCAACATCAATTATCTTAAACCACTGCTCATAAGTAACTGAGTCAAATGTGAACGGTTCATTCACTCTTGTTCTTTCGCAGTGATTTAAACCAAGGTGGACATCGTTTGCGAGAGAGTTCTAAGTCTTTCCATAATAATACTCGTTTTATTTTCACAACAAATCCTAAAAGTATATCTGAGCAGCACGTTAGGCTTATTGTTTATAGAAACAAAGAGGGTTAGCGTCATCGGTCAAAAAAATAATAAAAACTTACCGGATGTCCGATTCACCAAACAACTGCTGGTTGTTGTTTGGTTGCAAATTTTGTTGCAGTTGTCCATAATCGAGCACAGCATTGTACTGTCCTCCCATTCGAAACCCTAGAAGTGTAAGACATTGTATTCACGCATTTGGTGGATGAAACGTAAAACGTTAATTTCAGATAGCACACTGTAATGGTGATCTTAATTTTTACTGTAATGTTATAAAGTAATCTTGGCACGTGCAAACTAATAGTTTAAATTAATATCCTCCACTAATATGTCCTTGCAATGCAGAAAATATTAACATTTATAGTCCTCAATAAAATGTTGTTAAGTGTATCGATTTCTATCACTTCAACTCGTTCTACGGTTCAATAGAGCTGTTAAGTCTTGGGGTAAACGCTTTTTTCAATGGTTCCGACTCGACGACTTGGCGAATGTTTACATAACACTTCACATCGGTTGGGTTTAAGTTCATTAGACTCTCTCAGGGTAACCGCTTTTCGAAACGAAACAGAGAGATTTTATCGTGATTTGTTTCAAATTCAACACTTACATCCAAATTCAGGCTTTGTAGCCTGAATGAAGTCCATTTCGCCGCCCCAAAGCCCTCAAAAAAGGAATCACCTGAAAGTTTAATAGTTCAACCGAAGGATGTTCAGTAAAAATAGGATGAAGATTTGGAAAGGTTTTAAACGTCCGTTGATGAAAATTTGTTACACCGATAGTTTCTAACTTTCTCCTGGTCTGCTTAAGCGTTAACAAATAAACCCTCATGGGAAATTCAGAAATAATATGCTGATATTAGACAGTGTACCAGGATGGATTCCAGGGCTAGAGACGGTTAGTTCGATTGTAACACGAAACCGTGGTTGACGATAATTGATTTTCGGGATGCAAGAAATACTCATAAAACAAAGAAAGTTGAGGGCCATATCACGAATCCGTTGAAGATGGCAGATGTCATGATATTAGGATGATTAGAACCTGAAAAAATGGCCCTTTTTATCCAATTTGTTGGATCAGACAGAAGACAAAAGAGGTGAGATGTTAAAATGTCTTTTACTCCCTTCAGTCGCATCTCTCTTCTCGACCTGCCTGAAACAACTTTTCAGTCTTCGTTCTTTAAATCTGTCAATTTGTTCACTGAAACGGTTAAATCGAAATTCAACTTGTTGCCCCATAAAAACCCTGTTTTTCTGTGACGGTAGAGTTACCTCACTCTTTTCGAACTCACTGAGAAGGGCCTACAATCTCGCTACGCATCAGCTGTAAAACACTTTTCTGAGATAATGCATTTGAATGTAATCATCACCGCCCAAATTCTTCAGACAAAGAACACCAGGGTTTATAGCAAGGTATTCGTCTTCTCTGTGGGAAGAACAGAAAGCACAACTACCCCGTGGATGTCGATAGCCTTGACACCGCTTTCAACCACCAGTTACACGACCGCCGGATTCCCTCCTTCCATGCAATGAATCCAATTTAGTGCACTTTTACAATGCTAAACTCTTTGAGCTTCTTCGATCCTCTAAAGCATCCTTAGCTGCAGGCCCTGATGGTTTTCCTTCGGCGCCCATATTTACAGCAGCTTCCCTCGCCAATATGAGGACATCCGTCGTGAATGAGTCTCTATCTTCCCGGTCGATTCCTGATTCTTGCAATTATCCCAATTCCCAAATTCTTATCCTAAACTGTTCTTGTAGAACAGTATTGTCCCATCGCGCTGAACTCTGAAGATCCGAAGTTGACTAAAACGGCCATCTTGTCTAGCCTGCAGTCAACTACCACAACTCTTTCGACCCCCTTTAGTTTGGATACAAGCCCAACAAATCTACACTGGACGCCGTATGCACTCTAATCCATTTTATCAGTAAGTCATTTAACAATTCAAAACCATTTGTGATAATCAGTGGTGCATCATTAATCCCAATCGATTCATTAATTAATGAACTCATTAATGGTCACGTCAACCCTTGTGCTAAATTTGCCAATAAGATTCTAGAAGACCCTCTTCATCCACTGC